GAAAAGCCAGATAGTTGAATTTTATTTCAGAAAAAAAAAAATGTGGCAATTCAGCAGACCACTTAATACAGAATTCCATTGTATGGACTGTCTTGAAAAACTTGCACTCCCAATTTTTAACATGTTTAATTCATGAAGCAATTATTCCAGGTCTATTTTTAAAAAATCATTTAAAAATATAATATTCCTGGTCTATTTTCTAATCTTTCTATACACCACCATGAAGCTCAGAAACAGACAAGGATGGTCCTTTAATTTTTCCTTCCTCTCAGGTTTACAGAGGAAAGCTAGCAAGGAAAAAATAAAGCAGTCAAATAGTTGCTTTTACTCACCTATATTCTACACTAACAATATCTGACTGTTCCATAATATTAAGAAAATGGTATTTTTTTCTCTTGAGACCAGTTTACCTGTTAGTTCTTTAAGAGATTGGATACCTCATTAATGCCCACTGCTACACAAGTAAAGTAAACTACAGAAATAGCACAAAATCCCACTAAATATAGTATGGCATAATCATATTCTGCATGACATATACAAGAATTCCATGATCATCTGTCAGAAATAAATTACCTTGCTAACAACAGCTGAGAACTTGTACCATATAATCAACGTCCCACCTTTATTAATCAAACATAGTGGAAGCCAAAAGTGCTAAAGTTAAAGGACAGATTTAGCATAAAAGCAGAATACTGGTAAAAATTCCAAAATATTTACTTTCTAAAGCCAATTCCTTAGATGGAGTTTAGGGAAAGCCTTCAACTCTGTAAGAACACATGCCGCTCACAATTAATTGGAGAAAAGAATAAAGGGTACATGTCATGCCCAGCCTTTTTTCTACTCCTCTGGCAGATACAAAATGAACCCAGCATTCTAGGATAGGAATGAATAGCTTAAGGAAGAGAGGAACAAGAGCATAGCCAAAAAATAATGGAACAGTTGAACTCCTCCTCTACGGGCACTCCTCCTCTACTTGGAAAATTGAGTTGCACTCCCGCTCCAAGCTTTTGTTTAAAACCAAAGCCAAGCAATGAGTTCAGGAAAGCTGGAACAATGCGAAGCATCTGCGACCCAGAACTCTCTCATGATATCTTCCCTTTAGGTCTCAACTTCTAAACACCACCACAGCATAGAGCCTCTCCCCTGATCTGGGAAGTCCTAATTTTAAACCTGAGTCCTTGCTCCGGTAGAATTTGAAAATGGAGGAGTGTTAATGAAAGCTATTGCAATCACTACATGAGTATTTTTGGCAACAGAGCAGTGAGAGAGGGCAATACAATGTGGTTTACAGTAGAGGTAAATGTACTGTACTTTAAATGTACTGTACTAAAAAAACAGAAACAAAAACAAAACCCAACAACAATAACAAAAAAAAAAAAAAAAAAAAAAAAAAGGACTCCAGGAGCTAGACCTACTGGATCCTACTCTATCCTGTGTGATCCTAGTAGGACACAGAAGGTGATCCTAGCTAGCACTTTGAACTTGCTTTAATATTATGGCTGTGCTGAGAAAGATGGACAACACACATCCCTGAAGGTCTTATCACAGAAGCTACAGATAGGTAGGAAAAAAAAACAAAAGGGAAAGGTACTGGAATCTGGTGAGGGCAACTCCCCCCTGTCACACACGCAAACCCACCATCACCATCACCAACAAAAAAAATCTCACACCATTACACACCACTCAGAAGACTTCCATCCTTTTTTAGTAGATATGCAGAAAACATTCCTTTATTCCATTGAATACTGATCACTATTGGAGCTAAAATAGTCACCGTGATGTTTTTTTTAATCCCATCCAGTGTATTGGTTCCTATACAGTTTTACCATTACTGCTTAGCCAGAAGACATCAATGATTTCAGATGTTGATTGCCCACTGGAAGTACTGAAAGTACCAGAAGATAAATGACAGTATTTCCTATCCCTACTTTATTCCAGTTGTAGTGACTGCAGTATTAAACACATCAGCATCCTTTATAGCACAAGTAGTCTATTTCCTTAAAGTAAAGAATACACTTCGCATCCTTGATTTTAAAAAGTAATTAGCACTGTGACATGAAAACTAAAAAAAGTTCCCTTCATCTATAGTTATTTCTATAAATGATAAATGTAAATAATAAATGATAAATGTAAATGATATTATTTTTATTGTACAAAAAGGTACAATAAATTTGAACTTTTTTATTGTTTTTAAACATAGTAGTTAACATTTACTAATTCACCTACTCTCATGAGCTAAGAAACCATCCTTTTGCAAGATTATTTACAATAAAAATAAAATCTGCCTCTTGTAAATTACTATAGTGACCTCCACTGGTAGAAAAATATATGACCTCCAATAGAGAAAGCACACAACATATTAACCCTCACATGAAGAACTACACCTTACTCAGTTTATAGCTTGTTTTTTTGATGCTATATCCTTAAAAAGCTTTACTATTTATAAATCAAAAGGAGCACACGAACTACTAAAACATTAAAAAAATTAGAGTCTGCTTTCTTGGCAGCAGTGTCTATATGTTTTTATTTTTTAAAAAACTTTATCAATTTTTTCAGTAGAATCATCTTATAGTACAATAAAGTAATATCTATATAAGGAAATCTATATGAGAAAAGTTTGGGACATAATGGAAGTAAAGCAATGAAGAAAGCTTAAAGGAAAAAAAAAAAAAGATGAAGATATTCCAGGTATTTTTCCATGTATCTTCCCTGACTCTCTTTTTTTAAAGAAAAATAATTTGCATGAGTAATTCAATTGTAAGTACGCCTACTCTTTAAATCTTAATCACTGAACTACTATGATCTCCAGCAGAATGGTAAATTCTGATTCTGCAACACCTAGTACACCAAATCAGCACCAAAGGAGAGTCACTACATGTCACCTACTAGGAGGTGACATCTGGGTGGAAGTTTGTTACAGACCACCTGATCAGGGTGAGAAAACAGGTCTTCCTAGCACCTGTTTGGAAAGGCAGCACTGTGAAATGTCAACAATCCAAGTGACATTAGCACTTTCCTGAGTAAAATGGGTGCAGCAGTTTTAACTTTCTACAGGTAAAAGAAAGAGAAGGTGTCCAAACAGGAATCTAACCATTTAGCTACTAAACAAGCATTGAACCTCACAGCTACAAGAAAAAAAACTTTCCAGTTTTAAAACTTCGGCTTTAAAAGCTTTCCAGCTTTCAGCTGCTGTAATTTAAGTGGATTTATTTCAGAACAAAAACTGAAACATAGAATGAGGATACATCCATTCTAGGTAAGTGAAACTTCAGTAACTATCAGTACAGTAAACTTTGTGCTGGCCATTTATAGGAAGGAAGCTGAGGAAAAGCAGAGAGTGAAAATAAACTCAGAAGGTTAACCTGTATGGTAGATCTGTAAAAGATGATGACCAAGAAATTGTTTCAGCAATGCAGCTGACCACATATGATTCATTTGTTTGATGATGACAGCTTAAAAACAGCTGGCAATTTTATGCAGGCATGATGTGAGCTACACATCGTCTAGGTGTTTTTTTATTCTACAATAACGTGTCTGCGCAAGCAGCTAAATATTGAATCTTTGTCAGCACCGCTACTTCTGGTGGTGGTTAAACTGAACTATAATTACTCTACATCCTATGAAAAGGAAGCCAGAGAAGAATGCTGAAAATATTACACTTTTTGACATTGAACATGGTCAAAAGACCAGCTAACATTTGCTACAGAATTAAGTAATCAGAACTTAACAAAACAAAAATAACTCAGGTAACCTCATGATACCTTAATCAATTGTACACCAACCTATGTGTATCCCAGTGGAATCTAAGCCACATGAAAACCACATTTTGGAAAATCAATATCTATTACAACAGAAGCCACCTCTTAGCAAATAATTAAAAACAAAAAAAGACTTCTGAGATTAACTTAAAATCAGAGAATTTGAATGGCTAGAAAACCAGATGATGTGAAGAACTGTCATACAGTTTTTTATTCTATTTCTATCAAATTTACTTTATTTCCATTCTTAACTTTCTGGAGGAGAAAGAGGACCATGGGAAAACTTTCTCTAAGATCCACATGCAAGTTATTTCTCACCTGCTTCAAAAATAACACTTTGTATAATAACAAAGTAAATAACACTTTGTAAATTTGTGTTATTTGTAAATAACACTTTGCAACCATTTAAAGATGGTTGCTAGATGTGAATTCACATTTTTAAAAGACTTAGCTCAGGAATAGTAACAGGGTTCACGTACATCTCAATTGTAAATTAATCACTCAGACCAACAAGAGAAGGGGAGATCCCTGGTCACTGCAAAAAAATGAATAAGCAGCCTATGTCTAACTCCAAGTAGGCTTTTCTTTTTAATGTTGCAATACTTGTTTAAATGACTAGTTCAGACTGTAACTGCAAGAAAAAGGATCTAAGATAAGGAAGAAAATGGCTTTATCCTTCTGCAAAATACCAAATACACAACTTCGTATGCTCAAGAAGGACCTGAGAGACTGGAAGCTCACCAACAGCAGCAAAAGCTAAAAGTACAGAAGTGTCATAAGAACTATTCTTTCCTGAGTTCCATACTGATAGATTAGTCTACCAGTCATTACTTACTCCTGGGATTCATATAATTGTGAAGAACGTATTTCTTGGCCCATTATCACCATAAGGCTTAGAAAAGTTATGATGTAGAAATGTATTGCTGCCCATGGAATAGTCTGTTCCGTTTTGCCTGAGACTGATGAACACCCCACACCCCTTGTAAGAGTTGCTGGGCAGAGTTTCATACCTTATGAAAAACAAGTCTATAAAACATGTTAGTTTATTGAGTATCGTCTTAGTTTACATATGGAAAATAATCATCCCTATTAAACGATTACTTTCCCTTAACTAAAGTGAGGTAGCATTTTAATTTTTCTTTGTGGTATACCTGCTTTAGGACCTTAAGATACTTCCCTTCTTTATATAAAGCAATTTAAATTTAGTCAAACCAATGAGAATCACAAGAAAATTTAACTTACCATCCAGAAAAGGGTCCCCGTGGCAAATTCTGAATAATGCTCTATAGTAGACAGTACACTGAATATTAAACAAATCAGCACCAAGAGAAATCTGTGAAAAGAATAAATTATTTAGTGACATTTTCAGTTGATCTGCAAGTCTAAATCTAGTGTTGCTTCTCTCATTTGTATGTTTTTATCACAACTACTTTAAATCATTTTGTTCTCATTCAAGCAGAGCATTCTATAAATGCCACAGTTTTGCATTCAATGACTTAAGAAATAAGGAGTAAAATGATAGAAAGGCTGGATGCCACTAAATCCTTCACATACATAGGCTAAGCACATTCATCGGGTAGGTATTGACTGTTTAGTGGCTCTGAAAAGGGTTTAGAGGACATAATGTATGGGTAAACAGGAGCCAGTAGTTTTGCTGGCAGGGACAGAGCATGACAGTATCCTGAGCTGTATCAACAGCTATGGACAGAAGCTAACACCAGCCACCTAGTAGTTACAAGGACATCACTGAAAAGGTTGACCCAAGTCGTCTCCAGAGGCTACTGATGCTGCGGGAGATACTTTAGTTCTGCGTCAGGAAGGAGGACACACAGATGCGCAGGAAGGAGCAGAGCTGCTTATGGGTTTTCTCCTCTCTTTGTCTCAACACTCTCCCATGCAGGACAGGACAGGGCAGGGCAGGAGAGGGCAGTGGGTCCTGGCTTTTCCTGGAGGGCCTGCGGAGACTGCGGTGCTCCCAGGCAGGGCAGGCCCCTGTGTATGTCACCGTGCTGTGGGGCCAGCCTGGCCACGCGGCGCTGGGCAGCAGCGGGAGGGACGGGGAGCCCCATCCCGGGCAGCAGCGGGGGAGCAGAGCTGGAGATGGGCGCGTGGGGACACCAGGCAGCCGAGGGACACGTCGCTCTGCTCCCATCGCCCGGCTCTGTGGCCAGCACACCCCGAGGGAACACACTGGGGGCTCGTGCAGCCCTCGGGCACCCACCCACCCTGGTAGCCCTGGACCCCCCTCCCGCCCCGCAAGGGCCCCCACGGGCAGCAGGGAGCTGCAGGTGCTGGCAGTGCAGCTGCAGGACACAGCACTCGCGCTGCAGCCTGCCCTCGTGGGACGCAAAGAGCACAGACAACACGAGTTTGCAGCATTGCACTTTTATTGCATGCAGGGGCAGCTCGCAAGTGGCGGCCGCTCCCTCCTGGAGCATCCAGTCTGGAGCTTTGGCAGATGCTCCATGTTTTGCGGGAGCCAGACCACTCCGAGGGAGGGAACGCAGTGAATCCATCTCTGCAGCAGCCACCTCTCACTCCACAGTCACCCCTATGTCCCTGGAGCTGCACTTTTCCTTCCCACAAATTCCCTGTTGCCAGGCAGCCGCTGCAGCCTCTTCCCATGCAGGCCGCAGAGCGAGATAACATTGTCCATGGGGCCATTCTCTTCACAGGAAGCCTCCTGGGATTTCTCCCACGCAGCAACCTGACTTCCCGCGCGGGCGACTCTCGTCGCATGTCTCTCGTCGCACAGTGTCCGATGAAGACGCTCCTCTTGTTGGTGCTCAGAAAGCCGTTACCTTGCATACACCGAAGACCTACTGTGGAGATGCGTTACATTGGATTGACTTGTGCTGGGAGTAGCGTGATTCCGGGCAGCGGGCTGGAGCTCCCGCATGGCCAGGCCCGGCACTGGGTTCCCTTGGAGGAAATTGCAGAGGCAGGAGCTGCTCCTCTGCTCCCTGCCCCCTCCAATCCCATCCTCCTCTCCCCACTACACCTGGTCCTGGGTGCTGGGCCTCTCCTGTGCTTGGGCCTGAGACAGGCGAGGGAAGGCAGCGAGCTCTGCCTTTTATCCTGTCGCGGCCGTGATGTCATTGTGACAGTGCTGTGACAATTGTGACATCAGGCCCTGGCAGTGTTGTGGATGCGTTGCCAGGGCCCCCCGGAAACTAGTGTCAACACTGAATAACCGACTCATAATGGTTGGAATGGTTCAAGATCCTCAGTTCCAACCGTAACGCCTTCAACACCATCCTGCTAAACCATGTCCTAAGTGCTTTCTCTGCACATCTATGAAAAACCACCAGCAACAGTGACTCGACCACTTCCCTGGGCAGCTGGTCCCAATGCTTCACCACTCCTTCCATGTCCAGATTTGTGCTAATACCTAACCAGAACCTCCCCAGCCCAGCTTCAGGCCATTCCTCCTTGTCCTGGCCGTAGTCATTCTAGAGAAGAGATCGATCCTGCTTCCTCCCTTGCGTCACTGCTCCCTCCTTTCAGGTAGCCATAGAGCGTGCTAAGTTCAACCCTGAGTCTCCTGCAGACTAAATAACCCAGCTCCATGAGCCGCTCCTCACAGGCTCTGGGCTCCAGCCCCTGTACCAGCTTCGTTGCCCTCCTTTGGACACACTCCACCACCTGCATGTCCTTCTTGTAGTGAGGGGCCCAAAACGGGACTCAGGTTTCGAGGTGCGACCTCCTCAGACAGATAATTTATCAGATGGTCTGCTTAAATAAAGAATTAAAACTTAAGCTAGACATACGTTTGTGGAGATTCAAAGAGTCCAGCTCTTGAGATACGCTTCCATCCTGGCCTTTTTCCATAAGGTCACCAGTGTGGCTGTAGTGCGCAGCCCCGTAACGCGGCCTGTCTCTATTTACAAACTTTTTGTTTTGATTTAAGGGGCTTGCACAAAAAGATAAAATGGGAAAATTTGCCCTTTCTATCCTGAAATAATTTCAGGATTTCATTCTGGAATAATATCCTGTAACGTGCATGGGCACAGAAGTGAAATGCCATACACAGTGGCTGAGGTTAAAACCACTCTTCCATTTCTTGCTTTGCATCCCAGCACGAAGCAGTTAAGGGGCATCATTACTGTATGAAATCTTTTAACAACTCCTCAACTTTATTCTTTGCCTGCTGCAGGTAACACAATATATTGCTGTGGTGACAATCTGTAACTTGGCTTTTGTAATGTAGTACGTGCCAAGCTATAGCGTAGAGGAATAAACAGTTGTGATCTCGCCCTTATCCATGGGTTTACAGGAGGGAAAGAAGTCAGTTCTTATCTTTAAATGCCCTCATCTTTATTAATGCTCTGGGATGCTGCAGCCTACACGGAGGGGACGACCGTGAGGAGCATTTTCCGAGCCTGTGGTGGCTTGCGTCGGGCTCTAGGAGAAACAGGAATTTGTTTCCAGGTCCATATGACATCCTCATCCTCATTCCCTGGGAATGGTCCTCGTGCTGAAACAGTTGGGTTACTGTTGGTTATAACTTTTGGCAAGTGCAAGGAGAAGCACTCTGGTGCCTTGATAGTTCCCAAGTAGACACTGTTATAAACTGATAAATTCTCCGAGCCAATTAATGTATGAGTATTGTTTATTGTAAATAGCAAGCAAGCAGCGCTGGGTGGCCAGGGAGTCTCGGCTCCACCAGCGACACATGCTGTAGTACGGGAGGGTGCTTCTTTTATACACTGGCGCCCAGAAGTCTCCCCCAGTTTCGGTTCTTCTCTCTGGTATGTTGCACTACTTCTGTACATGCTCTCTCCTTGTTGGTAGGGGTCCCTGAGGCCTCCTGGTGGTCTTTGATGAAGGCTGCTCTTCTTCCTCCGGACTCTGCGCATGCTTCAATGTCCTGCGGTTTTGGCCTTGTGCTGATCCTGTGTTCTTGTGGTATCTGGCACTCATAGCTTATAAGACTTGCGATAAGCCTGTTCTTTTACAGTTTGTTCTGTGAATTACAACACGTTAATCACATGTGAATGTGCTCGTCTGTGAAACATTAGCTAAGAGAGGAAGTCCATTAAAATCAGTTTTTTATTTATGTAGTTGCGTTTATCTGAAAGCGTAGTCAGTCCCATTGTGGTCAATTGAGGGGAAAAAAAAAGGCTTTCGTAACCAGTGAGATTTTACAGACTATAATGCCAGTTTTAAAGATTCTGATACTGATCTTCCAGTTTAAACCGGAAAATTTTGCTCTAACATGTGTGCTGGCATGGCATCATTTCAAATTCACATTCTGCTCAGTGCCCTTTGTGGCGCTGGCCTCTCTCGGACAGCAGCTGATCCCTCCTTCCAGGCTTTGCAGTGAGAAAATAAAGGAGATGATGGAAAAACCCATAAGCTCGTCTTGTCCTTCCTGCTTTCTGGAGCCTCTGGAGATTGCTTAGGGATGCCATGGGGCTTCATCATCCCAGAGCTAAGGGGCCCCCTTATAAAGGCCTTGATGGGCTCTTGTGGGCTCGTGAGGGCTCATAGAAGCATTTTGGGCTTCTGCAATCTCCTAATGACTTGCACGGGTCCATTCAAACTTGCAGGGCCTCAACAGGCTCCTGTGCATTACTACGTGCATGTTAGAAGCCTCGAGGGCCTCCCGCAGGGATATGTGGGCTTGTAGGGGCCTCGGCAGGCTGGCGTTGCCTCTCATGGGCCCCCACAAGCTTATAAAGACCCTTATAGGCTCCTGTTGCACTTCCCGGAACTACTTAGTCTGTTTGTTCTCATCATTCTATGAGAGTGCTCTTTCACTCCTGCCATTGCTGGAGGTCTTATTTCTAGGCAAAATGCATGTATGTAAAGCTGCTTCTGAGTACAGCCCCATTCACTTGTCCCAGATCCCTGCCATTTCAGTTACCCTTTTAAAATACCTTCGTTTCCTTCTACTGCCCACACTATTTATAAACAAAAAAAACCCAGAGTAATTCACATGAATTTCTTTGATTTTTTAAGTTGATGGTATGGATGCTATACAAATGCAGACATTCCACATATTAGGTACTGTAATAAAATACAAAGCAGATTCATTATATTAAGATATATGTAAATATATTATTATATTTCAGCTGCTAATATTCCTGCTATTGTTCATTATCATAGTACTTACTACAGTTTTTAAGTAGGTATTGCTCAAATAAGCATTTCCTCTTTTTCGTCCACTTACTGCAAAGAAAGTGCACCTCTCAGTCTGACAGGGCAACTATGGTTTAGCAGGACACAGAGGACCTCTTTCATCAGAAGGTTAGAATAGAAAAGAAAGGAAACTTTGCTTGTAAAGCATAAGCATAACCTCTTAATCCCCTTTTTCATGAAATTCTTGCC